AGATGGGAGCTTTGTGATGGGGAGCTTTTCCCCCCATTCAGGGCCAAAAAGCAAAGTTGGAGAGTCAAGAAGTGCCAAGTTTTTGTAGCTACCTTCAGACACCTCTTTGGCCATGGGGTTGTTACATGTCTGCACATCTTGCACCCCTCTGTGCTAAGGTTTTCTGTTTGCTACTGGGCTATGAAGAGAGGGACAAGCCCTCGGTGCAAGGGCAGACCCCAAACTTTAGCAGGACATTGCCTGGCATCTCCTACGGCTCAGCTGAGCTGCACTTTGAGCCTCGGCTCCTTTTGCAGCATGAGGGGTGTAGGGCTGTTGGACGGAGTCACTGCAGGTCTGTGCTGTAAGACACATCCAGGCTGGAGGAGTCCTATTGTTACGCTTTAAGAAGGTTTTAAAAGAGGCTCCTGGCTGCGATGAGCAGGGTGATGGCCTGCTCGGGACATTAGATTCTTGCTTTTGTTAATGCTAATTATAATATTAAGAAGGGTTGATTTGTTAGGGCTGTTTTCCAGTGGGATACATCAGTATTGCTCGGCTGTCCTGAACCTCTGACCAGGGCTCACAAGGAGGTGCCGATTAGGAGCTACATGGTGCTTAAGGTCTGCTGCTGGGTTTCCTTGCAAAAACACGTGGAAAGCTGTTTTTTCTCCCCAAGTCCCAGTGGTTTGAGAGAGCCCTGCGGTTTTTCCTTTGGAGTCAGACAAACCCCCTGGGCAACTGCAGGAATTGTGGCCCATAACCAGCTTTCCATTGAGTCCCTTCTGTGGGAGGGATCCCATCCGGATCTGCTGCTCGTCAGCTCTCTCCATGGCCTGATCCAGCTTACAAACCTGGCAGAAAGTCAACCCAAAGCTGCAAGCAGTTTGCTGCTGCGTTGGCAGCTTCCAGCCAGTTCACTGAGGACTCAGCCGGGACCACACACCCATGGTCAGGGTAGAGGAACGGAGAGCTTGGGCAGGAGAAAACCACCAGAAAGGGGTTTTGGAGACCTCAGCAAGGACCGGCTCCTGACTGCAGCCTGGGGTGCTTTGCAGGGACTTTTGTAGCTCTGCCCCTGAGCATTGAGCATTTAGCTAGTAGCAGGGAAGGCATGAATTCAGAAAGCAAAGCAACACCAAAGCCATCCTAGATGCCTTCTCCTGGGAGCAACCTCCATGTGTCCTAAGGCTGTTTCCTGTCCTGTCCTCTTGCAGGCATGCAACCATGGAAATCCATCCTGAAGCTCTGTGCTACAATCCCAGCTCAGGAGTCCTGCCAAGGAACACCCAATTCAGGAAGAAGGGGACCATCCTGCCCCTCTATGACCCCCCTCTTTCCAATGACACCTCCTGTCCCAGCAGCTGAGAGCACTCCGGGGTCCACAGAGGGACCCACAACATCCTCACAATAACTGGGCCCAGTTAAAAGCCATCAGCCCCCGCAGTACGTGGCTATTTCTGAGACACGAAGATCATGCTTTGCTTTTCTCTCCTGCAAATGTGACAGCATCGGGTGGGGGTGGCAGGATTCGGGGCAGGCAGGTCCCCATTTCGGGGGCTGCACTTTCTTGGGCTGCTGTGGGAAATAAAAGCAAGTGGCTTAGAAACATTTCCTTTTCCTTTCCGCCTGCTAATGAGATAATTACAGCCTTTTGTATTCTGGGAAACTACTTTCTCATTACGGGGGCGCATCAGCTATTTACATAATAAGCCTGAAACAAAAGAGATGAGATGAAAAGACCCAGGCGGCTCTTCGGGAGAGCCCTCCTTGTGCTACCGAGGGAAAGCCTGTGGGATGATGGCTTTCTCCATCCCTGAGGTCCCTCTGTGGGGGTCTGGAGTGGGTGGCAGCACTTGGTCCCCAGCATGGGATGCTCCTCGCTCTCAGCTGCAAGGGTCCCCAGGGTCCCCAGATCCAGCCCGACGCACTGTTATAAACCACCCATTGTGATTCCTGTTGCCCAAGGATTTGGGAGAGGTGGCCGTGGGTTGAGACTCCCTGTGCAAGTGGCGGGGAGAGCTGTATCAGCCTGACCTGATGTGGTTGGTTTATTTGGGGCTCGCAGAGGCACCTCGGGATGAGTCCTACCACCCGAGGATATGTTGGGTACCAAACTGCCCCATCCCTTGTCCCAGCTCCATGTCCCAGCTTGCCCAGGCCCCCAGCTGTGGCCAAGAGTACCAACCTGTGCCATCCCATGTCCCATGTCCCATTTCCCTGCCCCCACAGCTGGCTAAGGGACACTGGGTACCAAACTGTCCCATCTCACATCCCAGTGCTCTGTCCCCCCAGCTGGCCAAGGGACACTCTGTGTACCAAATTGTCCCCACCAGCCGGCCAACCCGCCACCTCCCTTCCTCAATAAAGGCCCCATTGTTCTCCCCCGACAAAGCCTGAATAGTGCAGTCTGCTCCACCTTCCCTGGCTAATCCTCCCGGTTTGCTATCAGTTTTCCTCCTTGGTTGGTTGACGTGTTTACAGGACACGCTCCACTGCCACCCCTCCCCATCCCCGTCCCCCAGGAAGGGAAATCATGGCAGAGCACAGCCGAAACCTCCGCCACAGAACACGTGGCCTTGGCTCCATTCCCTCATGCCCGTCCTCCTTCCCTCTCTGCTCCCCGGGGGTGCTCCTGGAATGGACACTCCCCTGTGTATGTGCCTCTGTCACACGCAGTGACACAACACCCCCCGTCTACATTCACTGCGCTTTGCTGCAGCGGCCGCACTCCTCCCCAGGAGGAGCGATGATGGTGAGGATGATGAAGAGCACCAGAGGTTTGTGCTGGGTCCATGTTTGTGGACCACGCCACTGCCTCAAAGCATCCCTCTGCAGGCACAAGGCTTAGAGAGCCTAACAGCTCCCTGGAAACCCCTTATTGACAGCAAAAATATCAGTAAATCAATCTGGGCATTCCTATTGCTCATCCAGAACAAACTGCTCTGCCTGTCCCAAACCCAATCCCACCACAGCTCCTCATCTCAGGGTGTTCCCAATTTTAATCCACAGGATTTTCTGGATCCAAAAGAACAGACAAAAGTGTGGAATAAAAAAAACAAGCACCTGGCAGGCTGCACCAGTCTTGAGCTTCTCCAGGAAGGAGAAAAATCAGAATTACTCTGAAGGCTGCAGCGAGGTGAGCAAAGCCCCAGAGAAAGCTTGGTGGGTGGTGTAACGTGGTGCTCTGCAATTTGTACGGGGTCCCAGGAAGGTTTTGCAGTCTCCATCCTTGGAGATTTTCAAGCCCTGAATGACCCAAGCAGGGCCTGGCCTTACAACTGAGCCTGCCTTGAGCAGAAAATTGACCTGGAGACCCCCTGAGGTCCCTTCCACCATGAATTATCCTGCCGTGGAGGATGGAGTGTTTGTCAAGCCACCCCAGGGATGTCCGCCAGCGTTGCCCTGGCTGGGGCAAGGGGGTTGTGTTGCTGGCAGAGTCCTCATCCTCAGGGGTATTTTCCCCCCTTTCCCTGGGCTGCTCTCAGAGCCCTGGCTCTGGATCCAGGCTGGCACCCTCCAGGATGCACCCGAGGGCAGATAGGAGGGATTCTCCATGACATGGCATGTCTGTCCCCATCGTTCCAAGGAGCAGAGATGCCAGTGGGACAGGATGGTTTAAAGCTCAGCCCAGACTGCCAACCCAAATCCCGTCTGTCCATCAGGAAGGGTTCAGACATGGTCTCACCCGCGCCCACTTTCCCCAGAAGATGCTCGGCACTGGCTGTGGGCTGGTCATTGTCCCCAGTGAAGCCCCAGTGACAACCACTGGTGGGAACACCCCAGCTTTGGTGGCACAAGGAAAACTCCCTGAATTCCCTCAGTATAGGGAAAGGGCGTTTTGACGGAGCAGCCTTGGTGCTGTCTGCGGGGCTGAGGGTCTGGGATGCTCCATGCTGCAGGCTGGATCACATGAAATCATCCCAGCCCTGCGTGCCTCAGTTTCCCCTTATTAAGGGGCTGCCTCCTGGGCGAGGTGGCTGGAGATGAGCTGCTGCCAGTTTAGCCTGTGGTGCTGCCTGATGGGTATTATTGCAGCAGGGGGGGATGGGGGAGCTCCTGGCCCATTGTAGCATGCGAGCTCGGTGCTGTTGTCCCCTGAAAGTCCCCCATGGGGAGCTACGTCTCTTGCCTGGAATGCCAGTGTCCCCCTGAGCATCCTCATCTGGCCCCACATCCCATATTTTGGGGATTCCTGTGTGATCTCCTGCTACAGACCCACTCCTTGGCCCCAAATGCCTCGTGGTGGGAACAGGAGAACCCCTTTTGCCAGCAAATCCTCCCCCTCTGCATAATTTAGACCCCAGCCCCGGCCTGTGCGTTGGAGAGAGGGACCTGATCCTGCCCTTTGGGGTGAGCCATCACCCCCAGAGAGGTGCCAAGCAGCCGTCCCCACAACCCCTGCCAGGCTCTGCCATCCCCAGGCCTTGCACAAACCTCTGTCCCAGCGGAAGGACAACAAGGGGACCCACGACCGTCTCCAACCCGCCACCCACGCCACCAACCCGGCCGTGATTTATCATTAACTTGCCCTGAGGAATTTCAAGGACGCGGACTCAGCCAGAAAAGTGCTCGCTCCTCCCCGGACACGGCGCTCAGAGGAAGCCCTCATGGTTGTTTGTCCCCACGGTGGCTTGTCCCCACCGCCAGTGTGAGTGCTGCTAACCAGAGTGGTGCCCCAAAACCCATCGGGGTGCAAGGTCCCAGTGCTGGTGGATGCCAGATGGATCCAGGGTGAGTTTATGGGGAGGGAAACTGCAGCTCTCCCCACCCTGAGCAACCCATCGCCATGCACCCCATCTGTGCTCCGACCCCCGGGCACAAACACAGCCCAGTGGGTCTGTCCCACCCCAAAAAAGCACCTGCAGTGAGTCCCACCAGCTCAGCCCCACAATAATTCGCCAAAAACGTTTCGTTCCCCTGCCTGGCCCCTTTCTGATCTCAAACAAAGACACCCAGTGAGAGGGGGAAGGAGAGGAAAGGAGAGAGCCCCCCAAAAGCCAGCACCCAGCAGGATTTACCTGGGCAGCCCAGGGGTGCATCCTCCAGCTCCCCATCTTCTGCAGGTCTCGAGGTTCATCGTCTCCCTGCTTGGTACCCCGGAAAATAAAACAAAATAATACCTGCAGAGATCAACCTGCTGCTGGGCTGGGGCCAAGGGCTGCACTTTGCTCAGTGTGATTGGACACTGCCGGCCTGTGGGATCTTAACTCTTTGTGCCCATCAGGGCGGAGATGAGCCCCGTGTCCTCAAATGGGGACCTTGGGGTCTGGTGGCTTGGGTTTGCTCAAATTGGGATTTGAAGGTCCGGTGGCTTCTTTTTGCTTAAATGGGGATTTTGAGGTCTGACAAGTTGGTTTTGCTCAAATAAAGGATTTTTGGAGTCTGATCACTTGTTTTTGTTCAAATGGGGATTTGGGGGTCTGACTTCCGGAGGGGGGTGTGTTTTGGTGTTTTGTTTTTTTTTTTTTTCAAATGGGGATTTTGGGTTCTGATAGCTTGCTTTTGATTGAATGAGGATTTTGAGGTCTGCTTTGTTTGTTTGTTTGTTTGTTTTTTCCAAATAGGGATTTTGAGGTCTGATAGCTTGTATTTGCTCAGATGGGGATTTCTGCGGTCTAAAAGCTTGGTTTTGCTCAAATCAGGATTTTTGGGGTCCAACTGTCCATCCTTTTACAAATAAGCATCTGGAGTCTGTCTGCTTGTGGGTTTTTTTTTTTGTTTGTTGGGTTTTTTTTCAAATGGGGATTTTGGGGTCCAACTGCCTGGTTGTTTTTTTAGGGGGGTGTGTTTTGGTGTTTTGTTTTTTTTTTTTTCAAATGGAGATTTTGGGGTTTGATTGCTTGGTTTTGCACAAATAGGGATTTAGGAGTCCAACAGTTTTTTTTTCTCAAATGGAGATTTCGTGGTCCAATAGCTCTTTTTTGCTCAAATGGGGATTTGGGGATCTGAAAGCTTGTTTTTGCTCAAATGAGGAATTTGGGGTCCAGTAGCTTGGTTTTTGCTCAAACAAGGATTTGGGGCTTCAGTGGATTATTTTTGTTCAGTGATTTTGTGGTCTGATGTCTTGGGTTTGCTCAAATGAAGATTTGGGGGTCCAACAACTGGGAGTTTTTCAAATGGTAATTCTGGGATCCAGAGGCTTGTTTTGGCTCAAATAGATATTTTGGGGTTGTCTCAGCATGGGAGCCCTCTCCTCAAATTTCCCATCCTGAAGGGGATGCTTCCCAGCTGCATGGCTGAATCGAGAGCCCATTCACCATGGAGAGAGGAGCAGGGAGTGCAAGTCCAGCCCAGTTAACTTTGAAACAACCTCAGCCTTTCTTTTCAAGGTGGTTTGGGTTAATTGATATCCTAAATCTCACCGAAGTACGTGAGGGAGGCAGTCTGACACCCAGGAAGGCCACATTTTCCTTGTGTGCCAACACCGACCCATCTCAGTGCCAAAGTCCCTGGTAAAGCTGTGCACATACGAGACAACAAAAAGTTACAGAGGGATTTGACCCTACTGTAGCCCATCAACACATTTCTGCCCAGACAAAATGGAAAGGGGCAGTCATTTTACCCCCTGGTTATTGCAGATGAGGAAGCGAGCGTTAAATGGTCAATCTGTCCATCTGTCCTCCTGTAACTTTGGCATTTTCTGCCTGGTTTCAGCCCATTTGGACAAATGGGATGATGCCCGTCACCCTAGAAGCTGGATCTGGATCCTGCCCTCCCTCCTTTGGCATCACTTCTTTGCCATCCAGACCGCCCATCTTTCAGAGCAGATCCCTGGTGATCCAGGATGGTCCAGAGCTCCTTCTCCTCCCTCCCTGGCTGCCAGTGCTGTGGCAGGAGAGCAATCAGGCTTCCCATCGGGGGCCGCCTGGCCTCAGCACTTATACTGGATTATTTGCAGTCATGAAGGGAGTGCAATAAGGGAAATAAAGCTACACAAAGCTGCCACTAATTTAGACTTATTTGCTCAAGTGAATTTTCTATTGGCAGGATGTCTGTGTATCAAAGGAGCTGCCGGTCGCAGCCTCACAAACATAGCATCGTCATCGGCGGGCTAATGGCAGCAAGAACAGTAAAATAGCAATAATGCTAATAATAATCAAATATGGGTTGTGAATGCATTTAAACTACAGCAAAATGCACTGCTGGGGTGCATGGGGAAGGTGTAAATTATGCCAAAATGGATTCCTGTGGAGTCTCGAGCTCTTAATTTTGCCCTTTGACTTCAGAAGCAAAGAATTCCAAGAAACAGGCTGGTTTATACATTGCTAGAAGAGACTGCCAGCAGCAGGATGCATGGCACACACTGTGGAAATAGCCACACATATAGCGAGCCCTTTCCATCCGATGGACCACTCCTGCAATAACGAGAGGTGACCCAGGAGCTTCACCAGGACGTGGACCCTTCCCACCAGTGGGATTTGGGGAAGCTGCCCAAGCAAAGGAGCCTGGTGTGGAGCTGCAGCGTAGCCAGGCTCAGCAGATCTCACAGGAGAGACAAGCAGTTTCCTGACATTACAGCCGGTTAAGGCTGTGCTCATTCTCCCTTTGGGAGTTGTGTTATGTCTTAGCGCTTCCCACAGATGAATAAGTCATGATGGAAGAGGCTTTGGAGAATGCTGGAAACTCCAGGATAACCCGTGCTCGTGTCACTCTCAGGCAAGTCATAAACTTTTGAACCCTGAACTCCCATTTCTAATCCCAGTCTCCAGTCACTGAGACATAAACCTCTCTACCCACCACACTCCCCTCCACCAAAGCCCCTCCACCACCTCTGAGAGCCAACAGAGACCCCCCAGTTCACAGCCATCCCCCCATCGTGCAGGAACTCCTCCAGGGCTGCCTCCAGGCCCCTGGGACAGAACCACCAAGATTTAGTTTCATCTCTTTGGGGATTTTATCCATCCCTGCGCTCCCCTTTTTGGGCAGCCACGGTCGGACTGTGCACCCAGACCCCGTCACCTGTGCTGCCTCCAGGTGGTGGTCCCTCTTCCCCACCATGACAGACTCTCACTGGGGAACCACGGATCTAACAATGTATTCTTAATTGCCGTTTAAATTAGACAAGATCATCATTATCAACACAACTTGCAAGAAATTTTCTTTTCAAGACACATTTAGCTGCAAGTCTCATATCATGAGGACCCTGAATATCTAATGGGGAGCAGGGTATCTGTCAGAGCATTTCTGACAGTGGGTCTTTGATGCCCTTTTGGTGGGACAGGTAGCTCCTGTCTCAGCCCCTGCCCAGACTACTCTCTTCCATGTAGCACCCTGAGATGGGTCGAAACTTGCTGTTAATCCTCATCTTGGTCACTGTTAAGCTGCTCTTGTACTGGGCCTGGCAGAGGTATTTTATTCTCCCTCATCAGCCAGTCAGTATCAACAGGACCCTCATTAAAGGGCTGTCCAGGAGAAGGGACCTCGAAAGTTTGGCCGAGAGCATGAGGTCCAGCTCACCCATCTGGGGAACTCTGGAGCCTTGAGCTGTGTGGAGCTGTGTGGAAGCAGAATCTAGTCGGGAGCTGGAGACTGAACTCACTCATACAAGCGCTCTACAGAGCCAATCAAACAAGGTGATCTCCAGTCTGGTATTACAGGGTCAGGGGTTACCCCCCTAAAAAGCCTTCCCTACCCAGCCACGATGGCCTGGCCTCCTTCTGCCTGGGAGAAGAAGCTTTGTATGTCCACCCAAAACTACATCCTTCAAAGGACTTTTGAAGCCAGTTACACCCCTGCCCCTTTCTCCCTCAGTTCAACAGTGGGGAAGGCTGTTGTTGCACATGGCTGGATGTCGTTGCACAGCATCCATTGCTCCCAGCTCCCCATTTAATCCTTTTGGGTGGGAAATGATGGCTATGGTTCTCCCTGTTGAGCTGTGGTAGATGGCTTGAGACCAGCCCTCCATCTGCAAAATGCAGCGTGTCCAACTCTGGTTTCACCCATGGGGCCACAGCGGCAATGCCAGGCTTTGTCCCCAAAAAACCAAGAGAAACGCAGCAGCCCCCAGGCAGCAACCCCAGAGGCTCCCCCATCTCAGAGAGGGCACCACTGGCTTCCCCCTTTTCATACACATCACTTCCCTGAGTGGGAGGAAGGTCTGCCCTGACTTTCCCAGCTGCAGCAGCTCATACTGGGGCAGCAGCCCCTCTCTGAACCTCCCTTTCCCCATCAGGCTGAAGCTGCTCACAACCACGATGCCCGTGCCAAGAAGGTGATAGATCTCCAAAACAAGTCCTGAGGCTGCAAAGTGTTTACCAGCACAGAACAGGTGAAAGTTAAGGGAGTCTGCAGCTTCAGGTGGGAGCCACAACAAAAGAAACACCTGTAGCTTAGAAAAAAAAAAAAAAGAAAGAAAAAAAAGGAAATAAGCAGATCCTCAGATCCTCTTTCAATGAATCACTTGGACTGGCTGTTGTTGAATGGGACCCCGGGGACTCCTGTTGAGTTTTTATATTCCACAGAAAAATTCTACTGTTAGATTTGGTTTTTTTTGAGGTGGGATTTTTTTAGTTATTTTTTTTTTTAAATGCCCTCTCCTTCCATTGAATAAAAATACAGGGTCTTTTTGCTGTTTTTTCCCCAAAGCCTGCTTTCTCTTGAGGAAAGGAAGAATAAACTCTATAAAAACACAAAAACCTTTGTTCCCCAGATCCTTTTGTTTTCTTTTTCCTTTTTCTTGCAGAAGCCACATGCTCTGAGCAGCTCCCTTGGCAAGGTAATTTCACTTCTCTTGGAGCCACTTCATTTCAAGATCCCAAAGCTCTTTGAGGTCCCTGGACTGCAGCTGCAGAACTGGTTAAGTGTTTTCTGCGCTGATCAGAGAAGGAGCAAAATGTCAACTGCAGTGAGGTCTGAAGGAGCGTCACTGGCCTGGGACTTTCCCTGGGGAATGGTGGGCAGAAAGCACCGATGCACTCAGGCACGTGGAGAGCTGGAGGTAGAGATGGAAATAGGAACAGAGATGCCAGCTCCATGTATCAGGATTTCTTCCTTAAAAGCTCTGGGGAGCAATTTCCCAGTGTGAGACATCCTGATGTGAGCAAGAGCCTTTCTTCCTCTCTCCACCCAGATGCCTTTATTTACAGGGAAGATAATTTTCAAAGCCTTGAGGAGCAGAAAAAACTCCTAAATGAGGGTCCCCTGGCTACTGCACATACTTTCAGCTCACGAGTGAGGTGGAGGTGTCTCTATCCTGGGATGCTTTCATGACTTGGCTGGGCAATGCCAAGGCCAACCTGGTCTGGTGATGATAGTCCTGCTTGGACTGTGAAGTTGGGATGGGGACGTCCAGAGCTTTCCAACCAGCATCACAACAACTTAAACCCAGCTTCAGAGACCTCAGCTGTGAACTGGCTGTGGTTGTAAGTGCTTGACATCCAGCAGGTTGTACTCTGAGACCAGATC